TTCAAAATGGTTGATTTTGAATGCTGTTCCAGAGCAATATCTCTCAATATGGACAAGTACTTGTTTGACGGTCAGATACAAATGTCAATCATTTTAATGTTAACAAATCATATTCCTGACATGGTTATATTTCAGCTATATTACTATAAATAAAACTATATATCTTAAATTTGATAACTAACGGGGACTGTGCCATGCATGGCTTGTAATTTTAAATTTCAATATTTCCTTTCCTGTGTTATTAGCATCAATTTGAAACACCGATCACCAAAAAATAAACACAAAAAGTATAGCATGTGCATTACATGTCGACGTTGTACATTACATCACTTGCAAGTGAAAACAGATGGCCAGTGATTTACTTCCATATCTCTAGAGGGCGCCATTTATTGAAATCCAGTTTTGTGGAGTGAACCTCGAAGATCACGGTACAAGATGAACACTTCGCAGGGAATCATAATGGTGTGTTCAATCTTCATCCAGCACTCACACATTGACCAAAGATCATCTGATAACTGTTATCACGTGGTACCGGTAAGCCAAATTCCATTGTAGTCAGTAAATTTGACAACACTCCCCACTGTACACCATTAATTATAGCGATGAGAATTATTCAGACAGTTTTAAATTACAAGACAGATTGCAACTTTGCATAGCATTGGGTCTTTGTTCAAACTAGACTAGACGGCGCCGTTTCATTGGCACGCTCACAATTTAGATCATTCCATTATCATTCTAGATATAGTGCACGTCTTTCCAAATAGTATACCTTGTATAAAATACCTTATAATGCCGTGTGCTACAGCAGTCTGTTTTAGTCGATCGGACGAGTAGGTTCGCTTAAAAAATAACCGGCACTTCGTCTACCATTATTGTACACATCCCTGTCCTCACCCTAATATCACACGATAATGGAGTGTGCGTCGTCTTTAAAATCCTATATAGAAATGTCAACAATTTCATTTATATTTCAAAGGTACATTGACCAGGTAGTACTACTTAGCCATACTGTAGACCTACATACATGTAATAACACGAATGTAACCCTATATAAGGAAGCGGTTCAGCGCTCGTACCCTTTGACTCCACAGTAAAAGTACTTAGCTTACTTCGCTGTGATTTATTGTCAGTGTTAGCAAACTGGTGTTCTATTCACGTCAACACAATTTGACGGTTACTGGCCATTGCATGACACCATATCAGGTCGTAATTGCGGCATATTTATTCAACAGGAAACTGTCTGTCACAGCGAATAACAACAAAACATAATTTGAGAACAAAAAAACCTCAGTTTCAGGTACGTTATATGAGTTTGTTTTACATTTGTAAGCATATTGTAGTTAACATGGCAATTTGTACTCGGTTATTGTAATTGAACTAAAGACGTTAGATTATAACTTTACCTGACAACACATAAGCTGTCGTGTTAACTATTAACTACTGAATTCATCTAGCTGGTCAACTGTGTAACTGTGGCATTTATGTACAGCGAATGACGTCATAAAATAGCAATGTTTTCTGG